AGAGTAGCTGTCCAGTGCCACTTCACTGCTTTGCCTTCTATTCCCAAACTTTTGTATCTCAAAATATTTGAAAAACTCAACAGAAACAAGCTTGTTCTTTACAGCTCTTGATTACGTGTGCACACATAGTGGACAAAGTTAGGAAAAACAGGTTATAATTGCACAGGGGTGGCTTCAAAGTAAAACAATAAAGAAACATCACCTGTGTATGAACAAGACTAAACAGGCTTCTGTAGATGGAAGAGGGCTGCTTCCTAACAGATTAAGACAAGAGTTTTCTTCAAGGTGGAGGAATATAAGTTGTCTACATCTTCACATTATGTTTAACATATAAGGACAAGAGGCTATGTAGCTGTTTCTGGCTCAGCTGCCAAGAAAAGCCACATGTCAAAGAGGAATCAAACTAGTTTCACTACCCATTTTTGGAAGTGGGTAGAAACAGGGAGGAACAGCTTGCACCCCTTGCCGTCTTTCTTCTGTATGCTCAGTATCAGTCCTGTGGTTGTTGGCTGGCACACAAGAAACACGCCTCAACCAGCAGGACCACATTGCCTTCTTGCAGTAAGAAAGAAAACATCTGGTAAGCAGAATCTGTAAGAAGTCAGGGGAAGAAAATAGAATACGAAAGCCTATCTTATACTAGATCTTCTGCCTATTTGAAATATCAGCAGAAGGACGAATATACATTGTCTACATATTCCACAACTTTGAGCAACCATCACTCGTCATGGAGTTTAAGTCACACAGGAAAGAACTTTATCTTGATACATGGGGTAGAAATTAAACTTATATACAAGTGCAGAGATGTATTAAGAAATTATCCAGTAATACTAGTCATGGGTCTCTGAATCATAAAGTAAGTTAACAACACAAGTATGAAAAGTGAGCTTTTTTTAGGCTATATATTTATTAGGAGCAGTATTAATGTATGAATCCACCTTGGAAGAAAATAAGTGTCCTTGAGACGTTAGATTCTATCAGCCAAATTGAATGTCTGCATCAATAGCTCTACCTAAAAGTCATAATTAGGTCATTAAAATATATTTAGAAAAATAGCCTGTAAAATAAAGTTAAAAAATACTCACCTTCATTTTATTTCATAGGTCACTGTTATACCATCTAATAAGATAATTAAAAACATGCAAGCAGCTGGTACTGAGGCTAAACAGATTAATGTAATAGTCTGTAGTCATATGTGCTGGCAAGGGGTTCACCTCTTTGGCGAGGAGAAGGTCAGCTGCCCTTGGGAAGGCAGGAGAAAGACAGTATTTCTACTTTCCAGTGGCACTGCATTGCAGATACTGAAACTAGAGACTCACATCTTTTTTCCTTTCCCTTTGGTGAAGTCTGGCCAATTTGGACACCCAGAAAGGCTTTAACCATAGCAGTAAAATAATACAGTAGAGCACAGCTCAAATATTTTCCTCAACTTTCTTATGTTTTAAAGATGAAAGTTACTACATGTCTAAATCCTTGTTCAAATTTTGCTAATAGTCAACTTCTAATTTTGATGACATGGTTCTAGGAGATAATTTTCATAATTTCTTATTAGTAAAGCTTCTTCCCAAGTACACAAAAAATACTTCCATTACAGCCTGAAGATAAACTAGAAAATTCTCTGTGACCTGTCAGGATGCATTCACAAACTCACAGAATATTTAGAAATATGTGCCAGTCACATGTGCTTTCCGCTTGCATTACTTACAAACTTTACGACCTAAAGGGAAATGCTCACTATCTGAACATAAGCAACATTAACTCTGTGCCGTGATCAGTACGAGCAAGACTCACAAACTCTAAGGTGACACCCTCACATTAAAAATAAAACCACAGAAATAGTTCTGGAGCATCATAAACATATCAAAGGATAATGATCTGACATCCTTTATTAATACATATACACACACTCAGAGTCTTGTACTGGATAGTATAAAATTATCCTTTAAAACAGCAGTGTTGGAATAAAGTGTGTGTCCCCCCCCATGGTGGTTTTTTTTTTTTTGTTGTGGTAAAAACAATATGCTCTTAAGACCACTTTAATAGCAAAATATATTCACATTCAAATATTTTTTAACATTTGGAGTTGCCTCTTCTCCTAAATAAATTGTAAGGACTGCTACTGATAAAACATAAAGCAGCTTTTCTTTCAGTAAAAATTTTCAGTAGAATTTTGCATTTATTAGCCTTCTGCAATCATGACACCTACCATGATCCAAAGATGACTTTGCCTCTTTTAGGGCAAAAATTCACTAGCCAGTCTTTTTAAAATACAACAGACTGAAGAACATTGGGTAAACATGGCTATCATTGGTTTTACCAAATTACTAACTTAACTGAAACAATATTAATTGATTGTATGTATCCTAAAATAAGTCCAAATCTCTAATGAGTCCTTAAAGAAATAACAACCATTTACCATTGTTACCTTTTGAGGTAGTTTAAGATTTAATTTTCTTCTTTCATAAGGTATTAGCCACTCATTTTTTACTTAACATGCAGCCCAGAACTATAACTATCAACACAGCAAACTTACAGCCAGTCTCATTATACAACGGGAGTTACTTGCCACTGAGAAGAAAATATTCATTTCACACCTTAAAAACCGCAATACTACTTAACAACAGTGCTAGCTTGCCAACTATTAAAAGTCAAGACATTTATATATATGTGTATATATATATACCCCCCATATATATATATACACTGTACTATCTTGCTTTACCATCTTGCCTTTAATTATAAGAACAATAGTCTGGCAGTGGAATATGGGACTGCTTTTAAAACATTAATTAACTTCAGTTTTGTAAGTTGGGCGGTAATCCTCTCTGACAGAATACGATTATTATTCAGTGGAAGTCGTAGCCAACGTCATATTTATTATATGCACTTTAGACTAAGGGATATGGAGATATAAAGACCAGTTTTAACCCCCACTTATTTGTGGAGCATTAAAGATGGCTGAGGATTCACTACGGTTTAGGTTGATTTAAGTAAATGCTACCATGCTCTGCCCTCCCACTTACTTCTAGCTGTTCACGCTAGCTACTTCGTTTGCACAGTCACCAACACCCATCCGAAGCTTTGGCAGGCGAACCCTGTGAACCGAGCCATCAGCAAGCTCTCCCTATAAAGAATGAACAGGTTGGGCTAGGTTAGCTCCCTGGACTGGCTCACTGACAGACGAGTGCTACTGCATGAGTGGAGAAGGGGTCGGAAGAAAGTGTTGGACCCCAGCCCCACGGCTTATGCTCTCGTGGAACCAGAGCCTAGCTGAAGCTGGCTGCTGCTTCTTCAAGTGTTACACCTCGGCAGGTACAACAGCTGGGGCTCTTGAATTAACGACTTTCAGAAATTGGTGTCCTGCAATTAATAGCAGAGAGAGCTCCCCACTCCTTTCTTTTGCTGACCTGGCTGAATTTGATCTTGCTTGTTTGTCAGAGACTGCTTCATGGTCTCTATATATGCTTCTCACCTAACAAACATGAACATTAGTCTGGGTGGTATTTTTGAGCCCCTCTTTTAACTTAGATAGTACGTTGCATGCACTAGAGAACCCAAATATGACAAGAAATCGAGTCAGGCAGAACCCTGAAATGGATCTGCGAACACATTTTTCTCAAAGTGAACATGCTAACTACCCTCAAAGCCTTTTATATCACCACAAAGTAAGTTTCATTACAGCAGACTTACTAGGATACAGAAAATTGGAAGGATTTGTAAATCAAACCTCCCCTGTCCCACTGTGTCCCTGCAGGCACACTCGTTCCCAACCTTGCTCTCAGTTCAGAAGCTTCCTCTTGGTGTTTAAATCGCAACAAACTCCTTGCTCTTCCCTCTAGGTCCTTATGAAAAGTCTTTCTTTTCAACATCCTCAAGAACAGGCTGTTTGCTCCATGCTCTCCTCAAAGATCTCTCAGTCTCCAGCCTGCAACATGTTCTCCAGGCGTTGTGTCCCTCCCTGCCACCCCGCACCCGAAGGCTCCCCACGCCCAGCACAGCTCAGTGCCTGCAAGACAGTGGGATGTTCCCCACACAGCTGGCTGCAACCAGGAGAAGGCAAACCAGCAGGTTCCTCCTGCCCACCTGCCTACACCTCTTTGAAGTACAGGCTCCAGTAGCCTACCATCAAATAATGAAAAAGATGCTATCCATCATAGTTCCCTAAATGAATGCAAAATAATCATGTGGTAAGCTTGTTTTGTTTTACTGTATTTAAGGATCAAAATCAGATGCAGTCATTCTGGTCAGCACAAATCTTACTATTAATTTACCAGTCACAAGGACAAAGATTTAGCATTTGTAGCAGAGGCAGTATTTTGCTGGCTGAATGATGAAACTACACATCTGCTGATTACCTTTCCGTGCTTTCAAGTACAAGACACCCTCTGGTATGTACCCAAACAAGACACGAGCTCAGTGACAGCGCTGCAAAAAGTTGCTCAGCATCATGTTTCTTTAACTGGTGTTTACTACCAAGAGAATTGAAATACTATTTTCCTGTCAGAAAATGTCAAATTTAACAAATCCTGGCTTTGGTTTTTGACCTGAAATAACGAGCAAATAGAGTTCCATATGGTCCATAGATCCAGTTACTTTGGAGAAGATCAGAAAGGTGATCGCTGGTGAGTTAAATATTTCAACAAGATTTAGCTTAGCTGCTATGAGTTTAGGTGAGAATTTCTACTTTATTGCATGCTTTGGAGAAAAAAAAAACACCCTCAAAAAAAACCCCTTAAAAATATTCAGGCTTTTAAACATCCTGTACTTTTGTTAGTTAAGCATTTTTAATAGCTTTCTCAAAAAAATAATAATCCAGAAAACAACTTTTTGGATCATTCCTTAACTAAATACTTCATGTCCTTTAGTCTACTGACTGTTGCAATTTAGATTGTACAATACTCTTAAAATACACGGACCTGTTCTTTTGTTTTAAATAGATTACGCTGCTTATTATATTCAAATTTTTTAAAATTAGAAAATAAATATAAAAAATTACCAACCTGTAAGAAATAAATGTTCCATCAGAATCTGAGGTATGGTGTGTACTTCCATTTTCATTTGAGCCTCCTAATACAAAAATAAAAGAAAACGCCTTTGTTATAAGACAAACCCTAATAATAAATAACACAATATCAATAAGAATTGCCATTTATGTTACCATATATGGTAACTTTAGTTTACGATAAAACTTACACAAACAAGTCTCAACTTTACTTCTTCAAATTCTTACAGCTGGCAAGAGAGACAATCAGCCTCCATGTTCAATTTGGAGTCTGAATGTTCTGAAAATCTGAGATTTAATTTCACTTAAAGTTTTGACTGAGGCCCTTCTCAACTTATTAGCCACAATTTTACTACTATAAGGTTACAGAGGTATACCATATAAATAGATGAGTTTGATTTTACTAATATTAAGTCAAAGAATGTAGAAGTTAATCTATTTTATGAAAAATTTTGAGTTGACTGTATGATACCAGATATTTTTTGTCATAGCACAAGTTCAAAGCTTCTCTGAAACTACCTAAGTAACACGTCTGCAAAACATCTTGTTTTACATCCTGTGGGCTGTTTATACATAGAACAGTGACGTTCATAGAAACTAAGGATTACAAGGAAACCTTCCTCTCTATAATAACTACTTCTATTGAAGGACTGTTAAAAGCCAGAAAGAATAATCTATTTTTCAAAGCAAATTTATTCATGCCCTGTTTTACACTATTTATTCTTGCCCAATCTGTCATTTAGCTTGATAATTCTATGTCCCTGTATATTTACTTAATTCATTTACAGACAGCATTGCACACCTTCGTGTCCTCTGTTCTGCGTACTGAAATCAAGTTCTTTCAGTCTTTTTCCTTATTCCCTGTTTTGTTTAAATCACTCCTCCTTACACATGGAAAAGAAGGGACAGGAGCCGTAGACAGCATACGAAAAGTTTAATCAGTTGATTAAACCGTGGTTTAATCTTTAAACAGTGGTTTTCTTCTTTATCAAAAAAATTTTGCTCGATACAGTCTATAGTCATGCCACACTGTCTTGCAGTTTCACAGCCATCCATTTTTTGTCCTCTCAATTTTTTACATTTATTCTCTATTTTATTTACAAAAAGAAGCTTGTAGTTTACAGTAAAAATTCTTGCTAGTACTTTATTGTATTTCACACGATCTCATGTTGTTTCTAGTCCTCTTTTCCTCAGAAAGGATCAGTCCTACCTGAATACTCTATTTGTGCTTGCACTGGATACTACTTTCTAATACTTTTTCTTCATAAAAGTCTATCAGTGCAGTCTCTCACTTCGTGGCAAGACAACAAATGAAAATATTGCATAAGATCAGTTCCACCACAAACTCCACTAAGAATAATTCTTTTATTAACATCTGCATTTCTCTATTCCTTGTAATTACTATACTTCACTAATCCCCATGCTTTCTATTTAATAACATCTGCTGTGGCACTGCATCAGATGGTTTACTGAGGTCCAGACAGACTTACGTATTTCCTTAATGTATATTTTGAAAGGCTAGCAGGTTAGCTGGGCACAATCTCCCATTTAACGTGCACTAAAAGTTATCCCATTCACTTTTCTCTCTTACTTCTTACTTAAAACTTTTTTCTGAAGTCCTGCACAGATTATAGTCAACCTATATAGCTGCTTTGCTATCACTTTTTTTTCCTCTTAATCCAAGTACAAGTACATTTCCCCTCCTTCCAATATATGCTATCAGCCATGAACTTAAAAGACTAAAAAATTGTTCCATGTAGGAATATCTGTCAGTATTTCTGACAGGCATTTACTCTGCAAGTCAGATGCTTTAATTATTGGATGTGCTAATGTATAATACCTACCCTTTTATAGGTAGGGTAATACCAACACTCCCTTTTAGTTTATTTATTTATTTACTTACTTATTTTAAGGTCTTTGCCTGAAATTTTATTTTACTGAAAATTAAAACTTTTTCAGTTTAGACCTTACTTGGATTACATTTAATATCATTTGTCCATTCGCACTGCACAATGGTTCTAGTTTTCTCCCCCAGAAAGCTTCTTTATATAGCCACATAATATTTTCTTGTTAACTTAAATTTCCTTCTTATGATCTAATTCAACTTAACTTTTGCTAATTGCCACTATAACCCCACACTTACTGATATCCAGGAGGTAGCCTTCTTTGCAGGTCAAGCTGTTTTTCTGTTTCTTTCAGGATCTTTGCTTAGTCCACACATTCCATAAAAAATACTTAACCATTCACTTTAGCACAGAACTTTCCTTCCAAGTGTTTTTCCTCATCTAATTTGGAATGCATTTTTTTTTTATTAACTTTTGCACCTTTGCCTAAAATAAACCCCAAACCTCTACTACATTTTAGTCTAAAATCACTCCGTCCAGTTGATTTCACTAATTAGCGCTCTCAATTTATTTTGAAAATGGAAATCCTACTTAATCAATCTGCTTTTTGTTTACTAAATTTAACTAAATTAACAACACCAGATATTTCATCCAGGAGTCGACCCCCCCATTATTAATAACCATCTGTTCAGTTTTTTCTTGTATCTTGGAAAACAGTCTCCCATATTGGGACAATTTTAAGTAATACACTTTTTCATATATTACCCATCTCCACATCTGATCCTGCGCATTCAGAGAAATGACTGAACTATGTTCAGCCTCTTTTAAAGCCATATGGCTAGATGCAGTGATAGTGAGCAATTGTTTATTGGGACACAGCACATTAAAATGGGTCCCGAATGTACTACTGCACTTTATTTATACTTAGACAACTCCTAAGCATTCACCTATCACACTAGTCAGACTGAAAAAGAAAACTCTTTCACAACACTAAGTTCATACACTGAAAAATATCTTTTGGGACTCTCTTCAAGAATGGCAACATGATCTTCCTCCTTTCTGAAGAATGAGGTTTACAAATATCTCAAAAAATGCAAGCAAGTCCTTTATCATCTTTCAACTAAACTATTTGTCCTGCTTGAACAGTCAACAGGACTCTGCAAAGAAAACCAGAATCTTGCTGATAAAAGTTGTTCTTTCATCAAGAGTCCACAACGAACATTTGGTGGGATCCTGGGTCTGCTGTATCCACGGAGCTGTCCTTCACTAACTACTCTTAAGTGTAGCTTGCTTTACTCTGAAGCATTCTTTCAGAAGACAGTAATTTCCTTTACTTAAATGACTGCCACAATACTTTAGCATTCTTAATTGTATACCCACTGTTAATAAATCTCATATTCATACAAGTTATTGTTGCAGGTTTTTTTGAGAGCCGCTTTTGCTGTTCCATTGTATCATTAGCAGCAGCTACCAAAACTGGATAGGACATTCAGCTCTCAAAAAAAGGATTTAGCGGAGTGGGCATTTCTGTGGTTGTTTTCTTGCTCCATCCCCTTTAAGACAGATATGTCTGTTAGGACATCTTGAAAGATGATTTAGATGTCTCTCACTGAAAGTGATAAAAAGATAAAGCAAAGTGCAAAGTATTCATTCACTTAAAAGAAGATTCCCTAAATTTTACCTACTTTTATCCAGAAGGCTTCCTAGCAAATCCTGGTAAGTTTGCATAGTCAGCAATACTGGAGAACAAATGGGATAGGTGCTTCACTAAGTAATGACAACAAGCTGTGGGAATCCATGCCCTGGATCACCTCTCCTCAGGCAAGTTCCAGTTATTTGTCCATTTGAAAGGTTTGGTGAACTCCCAGTAGAACAGATAGATCACTTGTATCTACTGGTGATAACGACCCAGCTTTCTGGTAAAATTAGCATGCATACTGAACAGTTATGGTAATAGAATTTGTGGTCTCCTTTAAAAATCGTAATTGATTCAGTATTATCCTAATCTTTAGCTCTTTTCTGAGACTCCAAAATGGGAAGAAGGGCTCTGTTGAATAAACAGAGGATGCTCTACCAACCCTGCCCCACATCTCCTGAAAAGGCTTCCAAACTTCACATGCAAAAGCTAGGGGAAAAAAAAAAAAAAGGTAAAATAAATCTTATCACACTTTCAGAGGAAAGAGAAGGGTAACAACCAGTACCATAACAAGCACCAGTATCAAAGTAAGTACAGCTAAGGCACTGAGCTTTCAGCACTAGAGCTGTCACTGGTTTTAATACAGTAATAAAACAAAGCAGAATCCTTCCAAAGCGACTGAAAATTACCTGGACATCTTTCTTGCTGCTGCTTTAACTGGAGAAACTCCCTCTCCTGGGAACAAACACCTTCTCCTGAAAGAATTCAGTTCTGTTGCCCTATTTTAGTAAAGGCTATTCTTGTGCATGGAGTCCAAGGGCCAAAGGGACCTGGGACCTGGTACTACTGGACATAGCTGGAGGCTGTTTCAAGAGAATTTGCATAACTTGAAACTGATGCTTTTACTAACCAGTCAAAAAAAGAATGCTGGCTTCTTCAGATTACAGAGATGCATGGAGAAGGTTTTGTAAATTGTACATTTAAAAGGGTACTAGATTCAACCAGAACACACAGGCTTGTCACTCGCAGTAACTGTTTTCTTGTAAGAACATGTTTGAGATTATAGACATAGCATAAACCAGATGAACCCAGAATAAGGAGGAGCCCAATACACTTCCTGAAGATTATCTGAAAACCAAGTGTAGAAACTGTAACAAGGAGAAGCCTAATCTAAATACACGCACTTATTTTTGTATTTTCAGTTTTTAACAGCCTGTTATACTGACAGTATAATATCTTTTCAAAGAAGAGCTTTTTCAAGGTGCAGTGCACAGTTTCCACTCCAGGCAATAAGAAGAAACCGGATAGCATTTCAGAGCCCCAATTTACGCGCAGGAAGATGCTCTGAGTGCCCACCAGGCACAATGAGCACTCTGAGCTTAAGCATGTGCTCAACAAGAATAAAAAAAGCATGTGAAGAATGATGTAGGGATCAGACATTTCTCACTCATCTCCTTCATTACCTCTCTGAAAACAGCTGTTTTCTGTGAGATGCAAAAATTCAGCCCAGGACTTCTTACAGAGAAGGGGTGGGATGCTATCGCAACCAGCTGCAAGTCTTCGAAGACGAGAAGCTTGAGTGACG